GACTGCGATTGGCACAGGACAAAGCAGGGTTTAGGGCTGTTGTACATAGGGTCGCTATGAGTCGCAAGCAACTCGATGGCACATAACAACAACATCCCATGCCCTCACATGTCAGTTTCACTAGGACAAAGATTTTTCTGCCTGTTTTGTTCACTGCTACACCCTTGGTGAACAGAATAATTTCTTGCACATATTAGATATTCAAGAAATATACATTGAATAAATGAGTGAATGAATGGAGGTGCCCTCTCCAGGAAGTCTTGTTGCTCAGGTAGTAGGAGGGAGCACAGAGTGGGGCGTTTCAGGTTGATCACAAACTTGGCCACTCCTCCCCTCCAAGAGAACCCTGGTGGCTTAGTGGGAAGGAGTTGTACTTTCAACCCAAAGGCGAGCTGTTTAAATCCACAAGCTGCTCCATGGAAGAAAGATGGGCCATCTCCTCTTGTGCAATTTGTAGCCTCTGAAAACCAACTATGAGTTGGTCCTGCCTCAACACCAACAAACTCCATCTGAATTGTGGTAAGACCATATCTTTCCTCCTCGTTGAGGTCAAGCATGGCCATGTGACTTGCCTTGACCAATGGAGTGTGACCAACATGAACAGGTGTCATAGGCAGGGAGAAGCTTGAAGGGCCAGTGGGTTAATTATGGTGCTTCCCTCCCTTTTTCTTATCACAATGGAGCCCCCATCTTCCTGGGTCCCTGAGCAGCTACCATGGACAGAGCCCCCTTCTCCTGCCTTCTCTCTCTCCACTGTCAACAACAGAGACTTGGTGCAAATGAGGAATAAACCTGAGCTGTGTTAAGCCCCTGGGACTTGAGGTTGCTCCTGACCACAGTGAAATCCAGCCTTTCTTGGCTGCTACAGAGGCCATGGGACACGTCCCCCAGAAAACCATCCAAAAAAGGATTCTGAGTTCTGGTTCTTCATGAGAGCATCCTCAAAAAGCCTAGCCTTTTGATGATGGTAGTTTAGTCTCTCCTCTAAGAAAAAAAAATAAAAAATCCCTCCCAAAACTAGAACACCCCTTCCCCACCGTTTTTACCTCCCACCTCATCCTTGGGTGGGAAGAGGGTGGGCAATGACATAACTTACAAGATGCAGGCAACTCACTCCAGGCCCCATGATGGTGGCAGCTGCTGGAACGGAGCTGACAGCTCTTCGTCTGGTTCTGGATTTATGATCCCCAGGTGAGGAGCCACTCTGTGAGGGCTCCCATCCTGCAGGGATGGTTTATGGTGGGGAGCGAGCCAAAGATATTAGTGGTGGCGGCTTCCTCCCCTCTCCTGTTGAGGCATAGTCTGTAACCACAGGAAAACTGAGCTGGGTCTCTGGATTGAGTTGGGGGGAGCATTAGGGCAAGCTCAGAGGGTCTGGGTTCATGCCCATCATCAGCCTGGGGTCCTTTATAATGCCAATTATAAAAGACAGTAGCAAGGGAGCTCTGGTGGCCTAGTGGCAAGAAGCTGCACTGCAATCCCAGAAGTACATGGTTTGAATCCACCAGATGCTCTGCTGGAGAATGAGGGGCAATTTCCTCCTGTACCAGTCAGATCTGATTTGATGGTACACACACACACACACACACACACACACACACACACACACACTAAAATTGGGAGGGGGGAAGACAGTAGCACCCAATCTTCTGCCTCAGGGATTCGGAGAATTCACACTATTTACGTGTCTGTGTTTCTCAACCTTCCTATGTTAACACTACATTTTCTTCTAACTCCTCCTTACCGAACACCTACTATGTACCAACTCACTCCATGCATTCACCCGAGCTAGGGAGCACGGACCCATCACAGGAAGTGGTGCTGTTCACCCAAAGCTGCAGCCTTTTGGATGTCTGAATCCACCATTGGCCCTGCAGGAGAAAGATGTGGGATTTTTGTGGAAATCACTCCTGTGTGGTTTACAGCCTTGGAAACATGGTGCAAAGTCAGTTCCCACACACTGGCAATAAGTGGTAAGTTCTGAGTAATCCTCAGGAAGGCGAGGTTATTGAACGAGACCCTTGGCGAAGCTTTATTCTAGGACGACCACAGACTTGGCTGAAATGGTGAATAATACAGTTCTCCCTACTGAACCCTTACTGTGCACCCAGCCGGTCATTTCTATTTGAAGGTGGAATCCGTGAAGCCTTGTGAAGATGTGATTATTGATTCAGGCATATGACAAATGTTTATTGTAGGCATCAGGCTTTCAGATTAAATGGTGAGTGAAACGCAGACATACATACTTATTAGTAGTATAGTCTATGAGGACCTCTGTTCTCCTTGATTAATGAGGAAAACAGGAGCCCTTCTGGCAGAGCAGTTAAAGTATGTGGATGTTAATGGCTAAGTTGGATTTTTGAGCCCATCAGCTGATCAACAGGAGAAAGAGGTAAGGAGGTGTCTGTCTACTTCGATGAAGACGTAAAGCCTTGGGAATCCTTCATGGAAGCCCCCACTTTGTTCTGTGGGGTCACTCTGAGCAGCATCCACCAGACAGCAGAGGGTGACCGATGAGGAAAAAGAGTTTCAAGAGATGAAATCATTCCCCCAAGATCACACAGCCAGTGAACAGCGGAGGCAGAATTCAAGCCCACGTCTGTCTGAATCAAAGTCTTGCCACTGACTGAGCGTCTAGCATGTCAGGACTGAGTTACGGGTTTCAAGAATAGACATGCTCGGTGTAGAGAAGACACGCAAGCCACGTAAGCGTTCTGTTGGATAAGTTAAACAGCTGCAAGGATGGATGGAAAGATTCGATGGAGAGACCAAAGGTGAATAATGAACGGAACAGTGGTCAGAGATAAGAGGGAAAACTGATGGATGATGATGGAAGAAAAGATGAGACAGGGTGGGCACTGGATGGCTGGATAGGGGAATGGAGCATGGGGGAACAGACGGATGGACGGGTGTAGAGACAGGGGAATGCATGGGGGGCTGGATGGTAGATCTGCCACCTACAACAGCTTTGTGAGCTGGGGATTATCACTCCCATTTTACAGATCATTCTATGTCCCAGTCCTTTGGCATCTCACCCACACAAGGTCCTTTTTGTCAAAGCATGGTGAGGTTTCAGATTAGCTGTCAGCAGACGATTTCAGGGAAGCACTGGATCACTGTGCTCTTGGCTAGAGATACACCAAAGTGGCTCTCAGGTCTGTATGTGTGTGTACACATATAACATATACACATGCTCCGGGCAAACACAGTACTCACAAGGCAGGCACACACACATCCAAAGATACACACGTGTACATCCACACGAAGACATATCTATTCATTCTTCTATGCACACACAAAATGCTACACATACATGTACACATGTTTGCACAGAAAGACAAGCAAATATAAAATTATAACCTGTGAAATCACGCTAGATCATAATGCCCAAGTTCCTCAGGTGGACACTGTCTATTTGCACACACACACACACAAATGTCATGCACATAACACATACACAGTTATAGACTCACACTCTTTCAATGACGGGTAGAGAGGAATCAAGATTCAGCTTTCAAGAAGACATTCTCCTCTCTCACAAGGCAAAGCAAGTGTGCCAAGCCAAAGACACACTTGTTTAGACTCACACGTCATATACACACACACACACACAATCACACCAGGCTGCAGACACAAGCTCAGATCCACAGGCACCCAAACAGGCTCGCTCAGGAGGCCCACCCTCACCCATTCCAGGGCACAGTCTCTCACACAGGGACCCCACGAAGGCTGTGCATAGTCTTTCTCTTCCTACCTCACACTCGCATCCCCCCCCCTTAGACTTGTACAGAAACACATGTAGATGGGCAAACAAGGATAAACCCAAACCCTCTTAGTGTGAGGAAAGACACAGACACCATAGCATACATGGACTTCAGGTCTGCAAATCCAGCCTGGAAGCCCTCACCTGGGCCAAGTCCAATGCCACCCACACATAGGCCTCAGGACAGACCCCGGGAAACAGTGGATGAACACACACACACACACACACACACACACACACACACACACACACACATTTTTGCCTACATCCCTTGGGAACGAAGTCCTCTTTCCTTACAGCAAGGGGAGGGATAGAAGTGGTGTGACAGCCATGGGATGTTAAAGGAGTGGGGATGGGGGTTAAAATGGCAAAGTTGGGGAAATCCCCGCGCAGAAGAGCGCAACCACATCCATGCGCGATCCAGGGGAGTGGGAGGAGTTCCGATTAAAAAAAAAAAAGATTGATGAGGGAGAGGAGCTAGCGGGGGGCGGGGACAGCGGGGAGGGGCGGGGCTGGCGGCGCAGAGGGAAGTTTGCTGGGAGGACGCCCCCTCCCAGGCTCCCCTCGCCATTAACCCAATCCAGCTGCGCTGCCCAGACCGTGAAGGCGGGAGGGCGACGGCTATGGAGGGGCTGGGGTTGGGGGGCAGTCAAACGGGGTGCGTCCAGAGACAGCCCCAGCTCCGGCCTGAGACCCGTGTGCCTCCAGGGAGGGCGAGTTAGGGGAGCAAAATTGAGCATCCACCGAGGAGGGGAATCGTGCAGGGTTATGGGGGGGGTGCGTGGGGCGAGACAGGAGAGGGGGAACGAGAGACCCCAAGTCAGAGACGACAGCGCAACAGAGATAGAGACGCGGGCAGAAATACGAGAGAGGAACAAATGGGAAAGAGAGCGCGAGGCAGAGAAGTCTCCCCCAGAGACCCGAGCGCGCAGAACCCCCGATGGGGCCCCCCGCTCGGGACCTCCTCACTCAGAGGCGGGTCCTGCAGGCCCCGTCCCCCCCTTTCGGCCAGTGTCCCCCGGCCCCGGGTCAGGTCCGCAGCCCCTGCCGCCTCCGCTCCGGGCGGGCGCCAGCGAGACCAGTAACCAGGCGCCTATGGCACCGGAGCGCCCGGGGGTCCTGGCGTCCGCGCCCCGGGTGCGTGCGGGGAAGTTGAGGCAGGGCGGGGAGCGGGGGCGCGACTGCGGCGCGGGCACCACGCCCCCCCGGGAGCGCCCCCGGCGCGGCGGCCACTCACGATTTTCTCGGAGGAGCCGGCGCGGGACACGGTGCCGTTAAGCCCCACGAGCGAGGGCAGCGTCTGCGACATCCAGTTGGTGACCATGGCCATGGTGCTGAGCACCGCGCCGATCTTGAGCA